GAGCTGAGCTGTGGTTCTTTCTGCGTGATTGTGGAGAAGACATGAGGCTATGGGATGGAAAATCCACTGCTGCTCTGGCCCGAAGGGTGCGTGAATTGAAGGAAGACAGGGCTCAGAGAGGAAGTTCCACCACAAGGAAAGCAGCTCCAGTTGCCCGTAGCCGAACTGCCAGGTATGATGATGATGATGACATGTCTGATCCCCTTGAAGGAACCTCTAAGACATATGCCCAAGGAAAGAAGGATAACCAGGCTTAGAGGGGCCCTGCCTCTAGCCAGGTAGAGGCTAGGGAAAATCGTGTTTTCTGGACGGTGTGGATTCGTTGGCCTGGCATATCGGAACCACAAGAGTATAAAGCTTTGGTCGACACTGGTGCGCAGTGTACCATAATTCCATCAAGACATGTGGGGACAGAATCCGTTTCTATTGCTGGTGTGACAGGGGGATCACAAGACTTCACTTTGGTGGAAGCTGATGTGAGCTTGACTGGGAATGAGTGGAAGAAACATCCTATTGTGACTGGCCCAGAGGCCCCATGTATCCTGGGCATAGATTATCTGCGAAGTGGGTATTTCAAAGACCCAAAAGGACTGAGGTGGGCATTTGGGATAGCAGCTGTAGTGACAGAGGGCGTCCAGCAATTGAATACCTTGCCTGGACTGTCTGAGAATCCATCTACAGTAGGGCTTCTGAAGGGAGAAGAGCAACAGGTACCAATTGCCACTTCCACAGTGCATCGTCGACAGTATAGAACCACTCGAGATGCTGTGATTCCCATCCATAAGATGATCCGAGAGCTGGAGAGCCAAGGGATGGTCAGCAAGACCCACTCACCCTTCAACAGCCCCATCTAGCCTGTGCATAAATCTGAAGGAGAATGGAGACTGACGGTTGACTACCGTGCATTGAATGAAGTGACTCCACCACTGAGCGCTGCTGTGCCAGACATGTTAGAGCTCCAGTATGAGCTTGAGTCCAAGGCAGCAAAGTGGTATGCCACTGTTGATATTGCAAATGCATTTTTCTCCATTCCTCTGGCAACAGAATGTAGGCCTCAGTTTGCTTTCACGTGAAGGGGAGTGCAGGATACCTGGAATCAACTGCCCCAGGGGTGGAAGCACAGTCCTACCATCTGCCATGGACTGATCCAGACTGCACTAGGAAAGGGTGAGGCTCCAGAACACCTACAGTATATTGATGAGATCATTGTGTGGGGGAACACAGCTGCAGAAGTGTTTGAGAAAGGAGAGAAAATCATCCAAATCCTCCTAGGAGCTGGTTTTCCCATCAAAAAGAGCAAAGTAAAGGGGCCAGCTCGTGAGATTCAGTTCCTCTGAGAAAAGTGGCAAGATGGATGGCGTCAGATTCCTACGGATGCCTTCAACAAGATCACAGCTATGTCTCCACCAACCAGTAAGAAGGAGACACAAGCTTTCCTAGGTGTCCTAGTCCTAGCCATAGGCTTTTGGAGAATGCACATTCCCGAGTAGTCAGATTGTGAGCCCTCTCTACCTGGTTACCTGTAAGAAGAACACTTTCCACTGTGGCCCTGAGCAGCAACAAGCCTTTGCCCAGATTAAGCAGGAGATCACTCATGCAGTAACCCTTGGCCCAGTCAGGATAGGACCAGAGGTGAACAACCTGCTCTATTCTGCAGCCGGGAACCATGGCTTGTCCTGAAGCCTTTGGCAGAAGATGCCTGGGGAGACTCAGGGTCAACCACTGGGATTTTGGAGTCGAAGCTACAGAGGGTCTCAATCTAACTACACCCCAACAGAGAAATAAATCTTGGCTGCCTATGAAGGAGTCCAAGCTGCCTCAGAAGTGATTGGTACAGAAGCACAAGTCATCCTGACACCCCGACTACCGATGCTGCAATGGATGTTCAAAGGCAAGGTTCCGTCCACCCACCATGCCACCAGTGCTACATGGAGCAAATGGATTGTTTTTATCTCACAGTGCAGCGGCATAGGTAAACTGAATCTCCCTGGGATTTTAGAGGTAATTACAAATTGGCCCGAAGGTGAAAATTTTGGTGTCACAGATGAAGAACAAAAACTAGTGACATGGGCTGAAGAAGCTCCTCCATATAACCAACTGCCACCAGAGGAAATACGCTATGCTCTTTTTGCTGATGGTTCCTGTCACATCATAGGGATGAACCGGAAGTGGAAAGCAGCCGTATGGAGCCCCACACGACAGGTGGCAGAGGCCACTGAAGGAGAAGGTAGATCAATCCAGCTCATGTAATTCAAAGCTGTTCAGCTGGCCCCGGATATTGCAGAAAGAGAGAAACGGCCAAAGCTCTACCTCTACACTAATTCACGGATGGTAGCCAACGCTCTGTGGGGATGGCTGGAGAGGTGGAAAGAGGCTAACAGGCAGCGTAGAGGAAAACCAATTTGGGCTGTTGAAGAGTGGAAAGACATCACTACCAGGGTAGGGAGGCTACCTGTGAAGGTCCGCCATGTAGATGCCCATGTCCCCAAGAGTAGAACTAATGTAGAGCACAAAAACAATGAGCAGGTAGACCAGGCTGCAAAGATAGGCGTGTCAAAGATAGACCTAAATTCGGAGCACAAAGGAGAGTTATTCCTAGCTTGATGGGTCCATGATGCCTCAGGTCATCAGGGTAGAGATGCCACCTATAAGTGGTCATGAGACCGAGGGGTGGGTTTAACCATGGGCCTCAGGTCATCAGGGTAGAGATGCCACCTATAAGTGGAGGGTAGGGAGGCTACCTGTGAAGGTCCGCCATGTAGATGCCCATGTCCCCAAGAGTAAAGCCAATGAGGAGCACCAAAACAATGAGCAGGTAGACCAGGCTGCAAAGATAGGCGTGTCCAAGATAGACCTAGATTGGGAGCACAAGGGAGAGTTATTCCTAGCTCGATGGGTCCATGATGCCTCAGGTCATCAGGGTAGAGATGCCACCTATAAGTGGTCACGAGACCGAGGGGTGGGTTTAACCATGGACAGTATTTCTCAGGTTATCCACGACTGTGAGACGTGTGCTGCCATCAAACAGGCCAAGAGGGTGAAGCCCCTATGGTATGGTGGGCGGTGGTCCAAGTACAAGTATGGGGAGGCCTGGCAGATTGACTACATCACACTGCCCCAGACACGCCAAGGCAAGCGCTACGTGCTCACAATGGTAGAAACCACCACAGGGTGGTTGGAGGCCTACCCTGTGCCTCATGCTACTGCCCAGAACACCATCCTGCGCCTGGAAAAGCAAGTCCTGTGGAGACATGGTACCCCTGAGAGGATTGAGTCAGACAACGGGACTCATTTCAAGAACAGCCTTATCAGCACCTGGACCAGAGAACATGGCATTGAGTGTGAAGGAGTCCAAGCTGCCTCAAAAGTAATAAGCACTGAAGCACAACTCCTCCTGGCACCCCGACTACCAGTACTGGGGTGGATGTTCAAAGCAAAGGTTCCCTCTACCCACCATACCACCAGTGCTACATGGAATAAGTAGATTGCTCTCATAACACAGCGTGCCCGTATTAAAAAGCTGAACAACCCTGGGATTCTTGAAATAATTACAAACTAGCCGGAAGGTAAAAACTTCAGTCTCACTGATGAAGAAGAACAAGAAGTGACACGTGCTGAAAAAGCTCCTCCATATAACCAATTGCCAGTGGAAGAAACACAATATGCTCTTTTTACTGATAGTTCCTGTCGCATGGTAAGAATGAATCAGAAGTAGAAAGCAGCCGTATGGAGCCCCACACAACAAGTTGCAGAGACAACTGAAAGAAAAAGTAGATCAGGCCAACTTGCTGAACTCAAAGCTGTTCAACTGGCCTTGGACATTGCTGAAAGAGAGAGGTGGCCAAAGCTCTACCTCTACACTAATTGATAGATAGTAGCCAGTGCTCTGTGGGGATGGCTGGAGAGGTGGAAAGAGGCTAATTGGCAGCGTAGAGGAAAACCAGTTTGGGCTGTTGAAGAGTGGAAAGACATCGCTACCAGGGTAGGGAGGTTACCTGGGAAGGTCCGCCATGTAGATGCCCATGTCCCCAAGAGCAGAACTAATGTAGAGCACAAAAACAATGAGCAGGTAGACCAGGCTGCAAAGATAGGCGTGTCAAAGATAGACCTAAATTCGGAGCACAAAGGAGAGTTATTCCTAGCTTGATGGGTCCATAATGCCTCAGGTCATCAGGGTAGAGATGCCACCTATAAGAGGGCACGAAACCGAGGAGTGGATTTAACCATAGACAGTATTTCTCAAGTTATCCACAACTGTGAGACGAGTGCTGCCGTCAAACAGGCCAAGCGGGTGAAGCCCCTATGGTATGGTGGGCGGTGGTCCAAGTACAAGTATGGGGAGGCCTGGCAGATTGACTACATCACACTGCCCCAGACACGCCAAGGCAAGCGCTATGTGCTCATAATGGTAGAAGCCACCACAGGATGGTTGGAAACATACCCTGTGTCTCATGCTATGGCCCGTAACACCATCCTGGGCCTTGAAAAGCAAGTCCTTTGGAGGCACGGTACCCCTGAGAGAACTGAGTCAGACAATGGGACTCATTTCAAGAACAGCCTTATTAACACCTGGGTTAGGGAACATGGCATTGAGTGGGTGTACCATATCCCCTACCATGCACCAGCTGCAGGCAAAGTGGAAAGGTACAATGGACTACTAAAAACCCAGCTGAAAGCCTTGGGTGGGGGATCTTTCAAAACTTGGGAGCAGCATTTAGCAAAGGCCATCTGGTTAGTTAACACCTGAGGTTCCACCAACCGAGCAGGTCCTGCCCCGTCTGGTCCCTGAATATAATAAATGGAGAGAAAGTCCCAGTGGTACATGTTAGAGGTTTGTTAGGGAAGACCTTGTGGATCAATTCTGCCTCGAGTACATTGTGGGGTACCTTGTTATCAGCCTGCTCCCGCACAGCTGGCGGGACACAGAGACGGGGCAGTACATAGTGCGGCTTTTGCTTTTTGCTTTGCTTTTTGCTGCTTGCTTTGCTCTTGCTCCTGCTTTGCTCCTGCTCTGATTTTCCTTTTTGCTTCTGTTAGTTAGTTTAGCTAAGCAGTCCAGATTTTTCCCTGGACTGTATTTTTCCCTTCCCTTTTTGGAACCATTCAAACCTGCTCCGGACTGGGACCTGGGAAACACCAAGACTTTACATCTGGTGGCTGCAGCAGTTTTCCCCAGCGCTGGAGGGAGCAACAACAGAGCGACCACCCCCAGGAAAGACTTTCTGAATTTGTCATCCTTTTCCGATCGGTGAAAGTGTTGTCATCTGGTACTGTTCATTTTGTGTGCTGGGGGTGCTTTGCTTGTTAAATAAACAGGTTCTTTCCACTTCTCTCCAAGGAATCCTTCCCGAACCAGAGGAGGGAAGGGGCTGTGTGGGTTTGCTTTCTGGGGGGTGCCCCTTCTGGAGGTTTTCTCCCAGATTTGCCCTAATCCAGGACATTCTTGTATGTGACTTCAAACTCCCAGACATCTGTTGGAAACTTAATAAAGCAGGAAAAAGGCAGTCCAGGAAATTTTTAGAGTGTATGGAGGACAATTTTTTTGTCACAGCTGGTGGGCAGACCAGGGGAGGGACTGTATTAGACCTGCTGTTTTCAAATAGAGATGGGCTGGTGGAGATGTAGTGCCTGGCCAGACACTCCAAGGGAAGCGTCCAGAGCCGCGTCCAGTCCATGGAACTGAGCGGCCACTGCCCAGCCCAGCCTGGGCTGATGTGGATTCGTCTGCACACAGCTCGGGAAAGGTCCCCCTGGCCACCTGCACAGTGCAACAGACAAGTGTCAGACACAGTTACAGAGCTCTGCCCAGAGATGACAGGGGCAGTTCCTTAAAAAGAACCATAAAAAGTCAAGAAAAATAACCAAAACAACCAAACAAAACAATAACAAAACTACAAGAACAAGAAAAAAACCAAACACCAAAACCACAGAAAATCCCCAAAAAACCCCCAAAAACCCAACAAAAACAAACAAACAAAACAAAGAACAAAAACACAAACCAACCAAACATATAACAAAAAAAACCAAAACACAAAACAAGGAAGAAGAAACAGGCAAATCCTCTCCCCAGCAGAGCTGTTCCATCCTTCAGTTGTCCCACCTGCACTCACACAAGACCTGGGGCTGCAAAAAAATAGGATTCATTGGGCACATTTGCAGGTAAAGCAGGTTTAGGACAGGCCACCCCTCTGAGGGCAATGGTCTCACCATCAGCATTTTCAGGCTCATGGGAATGCAGCAGGCTTCATTGGTATCACCCAGTCCAGCTGCCCTTTTTTCCTTATATGTACTCCCCCTAGAATGTTCTCCCCTCTCTTATCCCCCATTGATCCCGGTTTACTGCAATGCTCTGCCCCTGTTACCTCATTGGTTCACCAGTTGGCTGCCCCTCCTCTGCACCACCTGTGCTCAGTTCCCATTGGCCCTTGGCCCTCAGACCCGCCCCTTTCCCCCCTTATCAAATCCTGGGTCCTCAGCCCCATTTTGTCTCTGTGCCTGGACCCTCTGCATTGCAATAAACTGAGTTTGGAGCTCTGCACACAGACCCGCCTCTGGCCTTGTCCATCAGCAGGTTAAGCAAGCGTGCTCTGGGAGTGCAGGTTGCTCACAGGGGCTCATTGTGGATTTGCTGCAACACTAGAGATGGACTTGGGCAGGAGGATCCCCCTAACCCAATGTACTCATGCACTGTATTTTTCCCCAAACCAGGATTGCTCATTCCAAAACTTTGGCCGGATGGAGGAGGAGGCTGTGAGGAAGAGGAAGATGGCCCGGGACACGCAGGCAGGTGAGGAGGAAGTGAGTGCCCCTTTCCCCCTCTCTCCTGCTCCATCTCCCAGCCCAGCAATGCCCCCGGCTGCAGGACAATCCCACTGCTGTCCTGCTGGGGATGCACTGGGGGATCTTCTTCCCTTTCCCTGTGGCACAGGGGCAAACCCCATCCTCTCCTTGTCCTTCTTGCCCCAAACAAAGAGGTGAGGATGGAGACCAGGGAGGACAAATCCCCACAACAGAACCTTGAGGAAGAGGCAAATTTGAGCGGCTCCACATGGCAGGAGTCCAACAGGGAGGGAAAGCACCAGACATGCCACAGGAGGAGGAGCACCAAACCCAGCCCAGGGTGCTCTGAGGTGAAAGGCTGCACCCTGAGCCAGGAAGGTGGACACAGCTTCAGGCAGAGCTCGGGGCTGGTGGTCCATGAGCAGCTTCAGGATGCGGCGAAGCCCTACAAGTGTTTAGAGTGTGGGAAGAGCTTCAGGCAGAGCAACACTCTGATCCACCACCAGATGATCCACACTGGGGAATGGGCCTACGAGTGTGGGGAATGTGGGAAGGGCTTCAGGTGCAGCTCAGAACTCATCAGGCACCAACGCATCCACACCGGGGAGATGCCCTACTAGTGTTCCCAGTGTGGAAAGAGCTTCATGCAGAGCTCTGCCTTGGCCAGACAGCAGCGGAGTCACTGTTAAGGGAAGCCCTGCAAATGCCCCAACTGCAGGAAAAGCTTCATTCCCAACTCCAGCTTCATCCCCCATTGGAGGACCCTCGTTGGGAAGAGACCTGTGATCCATGTTCATGTGATCCATGCTGGGAAGACACCTGTACCTTTTCCTGCCCCTGCCAATGACATGATGTGGGATTGAATAATGTGAGGGTCAGGCCACGGCCCTGTCATTACATTCACTCCCATCTCTGGTCATTGCCAGGGGCAGGAAAGGGACTCCCTGTCTCCCTGAAGAGAAGGGTGTCCTTCCCTGGAGTGAGGATAAACATTGCTGCTTAGAGGCACTCAGCGGTAATGTAGTTTTTCCTACAAATCCTTTTCCTTATTCCCCGCTGTTATCAATATTGTTTCTGTTGCTGTTTGTTCCTTGTCTTGTTGCTGTTTCCAGTAAATTGTTCCCACACCATCCTAGGATATTTGCCTTTTGTGCTTTGCATTGCAGGTGGGAGGGCAGCAA